GGGAGCCCGATGTGGGACTCGATCCCGGGACTCCAGGATCATGACCTGAGCCGAAGGCAGTCGCTTAACCAACTGAGCCACCCAGGCGCCCTATACATAGATTTTTTATAGTTCGGTACTATAAGTGTATTTTTCTTATGATTTTACCATTTTTTCTCTAGCTTACTTTAAAGAATATAGTATATAAATCATGCAACATACAAAATACATGTTAATCAACATTTTGTGTCTCACTGTAAGGTGAGTAACCCCAGGTCAGTAAGGTTTCCAGTCAACAGTAGGCTATTAGTAGGTAAGTTTTTGGGGAATCAAGTTATAGGTGGATTTTCAACCGTGCGGGGGGGGGTGCTGTCGCCCCCAGATGCCCCCGCCCTGTTGTTCAAGGGTCAACTGTAGATCTAAAACTTTTAATGCAAAGTAACTAACTTCTTAGCCCTCTCATTCTTCAGTAGCCCCTAGAAACAAATATTTGTTAGATGTTTACCTGATATATTTCAGGACAGGCAAAGAAGAAAATAAACCTGCGAACTAACACTGGCCCAGTGGGACACACGAGGTGCCCTTCCACAGATGTCACGTGAGGGAAACCTTAGTCTTCACAGCCTGTGAGGCAAGTCCCATCATCTGTGTCTCAAGGCTGAGCCTGAGGCACAGGGGAGTTAACCTGTCTCAGTACAGGACAGTAAGAGGCCGGGCCGAGCCAGGGCTGGGAGCCGACCCCCAGGGCACCTGGGCTCGGCAGGAGGGAGGAGGCACCTTCCCCTGGCTGCTGCACAGACCCCCGCCCACAGCTCCCTCACTGGAAGTTCACTCAAGTTCATTCTGGCGTAAAGGTTTTTGGTATTAAAACTTCCTGAATGAAAAGGTCTGAAAGTAGCTTGATATGTAATACCTACCAACGCCTAACTATGAATAAGACCTTGAGATCATGAATAATACTCATTTAAGTAAAGCACACTCTTGTTCAGAAACTCACAAGAACTGAAATACACTTTTAAAAGCCCCAAACTTTATTTACAAAACAGGTTCTTTTGTTTTACAAAAATTACAAAAAATGACTCTGAAAAATAGAAATAGCGTCTCAGACTCTTGGGAACTACTTTCCAGCAACCAAGGAGTTGGAACTCAGAAGGTTTTCTTCTGTCTAAGAGTTGTAACGGCAACATCTATGAATGCTTTATGTCTTCATAAAAAATCCCTCGGCTCGGAGCCGCCTTTCCTCTGGCGGAAAGGGCTCCGGTCAGGCCAGAGTCTGAAGGAGCAAGATCTTCTCGTTGATGCAGAATCTGTGCAGCACGACCATCAAGTTCTCGCCACAGCGGGACACCTGGCGCTCCATGGCCAGGCGGAAGTCCTCCTTCACGCCCTTGGTGATGCCCCGAGTGACCGTGTGGTGCCTGAGGGCAGTGACAGGGAAACAGATGGACACCGCTTAGCGCCGGCATCACTGGTCAGTGTTTCTGGGGCAGGAGTAAAACCTGACTGAAATCTAAGTTTAAGTAAAAAAAATTCAAAAAGGAAGAAAAGCCCTAACCAAACAATCCCCTACCCGTTCCTTCTCAGAAAGACATAAAACTAGAGACATGTTTCCCACTCAGTAAAAGGCTATTTTAAACATCTAAACGTCTGGTGAAATGCCAGCTGCTTTGCTTCTGGACTCTTGCAGCTCTGACACTATGCATCCCTGTGCTGACCTGTGCACGGTTCTGTCACTTTGGGCCAACTGGGCCCAGTCCACACGGCCCCACAGTTCGTGTCCGGACAAGGCAGCCGAGTGCAGAGGCAGCAGCAGGGAGGAGGGAAGCCAGAATGAGCCAGTCACCACACTGAGCTGGGGCCGGGGACTCTGTGCTGAGGCTCAGAAAGGCCGGGGGCTTGTGCTGGGCCACTGGGGTTCCAAGTGCGTTGCCCCCCGGTGGAGCCGAACAGGACAGCTCTGCTAAGTGCTGAGCCCATCCAGACTCACGTCTGTCTGAGAAGCAGCGGGGGGAGTTGGAGGTCCCAAGACAAGAGTCTGGCAGGGGTGGGGGGAGAGAAGCTGACTCACTGAAGAACAGCCAGTGCCCTGCAAAAGCCTACTGGGGACCAGATGTGGTCCACGTGCTCAGGAGACGTGCACGTCTGTGGAAGGATCAGTGGGAGCACGAGAAAAGTTCTAGCTACACCCGAAAGCTGTGCTGTGGAGAAGGAGTTCACAAAGGAAATCCCAGAAAACTTAAGACGTCAAAATGAAGAAAGGAAAAGAAAAATCTAGCAAAACTCAATGGGTTGTTAAAAGGAAAGGAGTTTCAACTACCGGGTCAGTAGTTTAGTAGATTAGACCAATAGAAGGCACCTCCATTCCCCACCTTGACTGCCTAACTTCCCTCAGACACAGTAGCAGGGATTTAAAATTAGATTTTTATGTATTGGCCAAAACAAAACTGTCGAAACCACTCTAAAACGTTCCTGTTTTTTTTTTTTTTAAACTTGTTTATTGTCATATAAAACAGTACAACAGAAGTCAAAAAGTTGCAGTGCAACAGAAGAAAAAACAAAACTCGGCTCTGTCAGACTAGCAAAGATACTACACGACAGTCTACAACACCCACGGGCATTCGGAAGAACTACGCCGACGGTAGCAGTGCCAGGGAGAAAACACAGTTCTTGGTGGACATTTCTAGTGAAGTCGGCTGGTTAACTCAGTAATAAGGACGTGGCATCAGTGAGGCTGAGCCCATGAGGCCCACTGGGAATAGGCGTAGACCCACTGAAGCCACCCTGAGATCCTGTTCTTCTGGGTCCCAGACTGCAACCCCTGATGGGAGCCAACCCTTGAGCAACTGAGAATTACTGGTATTTGCAGACAACTAGCTAAAGGGCTTTGAAAGCTCAAAGCAAACTTTTCCCTTCGTGCTAGTACAAATATAATAAAATGTCGTGTCCTGCTGATCATGGTTCAATGGTATTGTTTCTACAGATAAAGCAGTACAACTCCATTATATTTCTATCAGTTTCTATCCCTCTGGTGAGTTTGGATGAAGAAGAGCATTAGTTAGCTTCTGTGGTTAAGGACAGGAGAAATCAGCTAATAAATGCAGCATACCAAGTATTTTCAGTTTAGAAAGGGAAGGTCTGAAAAATCAGTAAATGCTGTGCTAAGGCCCGGTTAGACCAGAACATCCACACTGCTCACTAATATGACAATCCACGAACAAAATTTACTTAAAATGAGCTCCGGCATCCTTAAATATTTATGACTGAATGCCTTATGTTTTATCAAAAGAGAATCACAGTCTAGAGCCTAACCTAAGGTGTGCTTAATCTACACGGTTTTATATAACTTTTTTTTTCCAGATCCATAATGATTTTTAAATCGAACACAAAAACACTGGCAACTTATGGAAAAAAAATAAGAAATGTTACAATATTACAACCAGATGGTTTGCCAAGGAATGCAGAACAAATTAAAAAAATAAATAAAGCATGAAAAAGAGCACTGAGGAACAGAGAGCTGGAAACCATGGGCAGTACGACATGTTGACAAAACGGCACACTATGAGCAGGTGTTTTTCCACGTGGTACCTGTCAGCAGTCTGTATGCTGGGCTGAAGCACAGGTAAGAATTCCTGCTGCAGTAACCCCATGGGAGGGCTAGAAGGCCTTTAAAAAACAGCAAACAGCAGCATTCAAACACCCACACCGACTCACCCTGCACTGCAAAAACAACACGCCAGAGAAAATGCACAAGACTGGAACAGACTATGCAGCAACCCTTGAACCTCCACGGGCCCCCGGCCTCAGCAGTGTCTTTCGGGAGGATGGGAGAAGCTAGCAGTCCTCTCCCTGCACCTGCTGCTGGGGCACGTCCAGAGCATCTTGTTCCTGGGCCCCGAGCTCAGGCCACTCGAGATTTGGTGTAAAAGCAACCACCAAGGAAGAGGATGACGAGACGCAATTGAACAGCAGTGCGGAGAGGGGGTCACACTTGAGAAGACACATTTTTGAATCCAGCCTCCTTCACTCTCCATTCTGCTCATGCCCCCGCCAATCCCAGAGATAAACTTGGGGGCTTTTGATAACTATCTTTGCCAGGATTGAAGCCCCGAACTGAAGAGGCCCTTCCAGGACGACTAGAGGGGCTGGGAATGTTTTTGATCAAGAAAGGTTGAGCCTGAATTTCAAAAAGTATTGAGAAAAAGGAACAGATGGGGGGGGAGGGGAGGGAAGAAGTCTGGGACCCATGGCTTTACAGAATTCGAAACAAGGATTTGTGCACAGGACATGGTTTTTCCATTTTCACCCAGTCTAATGCAACTATGGTACTGCAAATATCGGCAAAGAAATAGTTCTCTATTTAAAAATACGTCAGGACAAAGCGTCTTTGTTCTGTTGGTCAGGGCCTGGGTGCCCTCAGGCTGGGACCCGCTAGCATCCGAGCAGACCAGACGGACTCACAACCTTACCCAAGGGGAGGGCTGTGCGCTGCTCACAGCACCTCTGCCACTCGGCTGGAGGCACCACCCAAAAGGTCTGCGATGGCGTCAGAGAATTTGTTTGGAACCCAAAGGGAAAAGGAATATAGAGAGTTTTACTCAAGATTCTAGTCCTACCCCCTTAGTAAGAGCTCTCTGGCTTTATGCAGCTTGCTTCTCCCGCTGGTTAGGCATAAGTAATCTGAAATGCAGGCTTCAACTGAACTTTGAGACTCGCACAGTGAAGACTGGGCAAATTTCTAGAAGGTCAGCTCCCTACATAACAGTCCCTATTCTTGCTTCCAAACAGATAGAACAGCAGGTTTCCTAAGAGGCTTACTGGTCTTCTACAGGGTGTTAAAAGACATTAAAGTTTATACTGACCAAGGTGGGAGAGCCTGGAATTCTCTCCAAAGTCTTTAGAAATGCATGCTGTGCATCCCTGCCTTGCCCTAAACAACTCTTTACAGTGATATTATCTGGGTGTCCGAGAGCGCCTGCTTTCATCCCTTGTCCTAGAGATTGTCTGCATGAAACCATGTCACTGTTGGGCTCGATACAAACTGGCTACAGAAGAAAGGTTCAGTATAATGAAGTTCGAGATCCAACTGTTGATTTTGTAACAGTCCATTCACTCATATTTCCACAGTTAAGCACTATCTGAAGTGAGATATCATCTATAAGCTTAACCCTAAGCAAATGTAGTTGATTCGAAGGCTGTTCCTATATTATGATAATTTGTACAGTAAGCGTTAATGTGAATTAACTAAAAAGTTATTAATATTAGGTATGTTTTATATATGCAGCCTCAAAACCTAGAAATCTTTTATTGTTAAGCCCACAAAAGGGGTTACCTAAGTTCCCATATCAACAAGTCATCTTTGTTCTCGACCAGTGTTAAGAATATTTTTACCATGCAATTATTTGGCCCCTAGTTTTTATTTGCAGTCTTAGGGAAGGGAATGGAGATGGGAAGATGAGCATGTCCAGCCCATCTTGCCTAAGCCACCTAATGCATAAAGGTCTCGTGTTTTCAAAAAACAGCACTCGTTCTTTTAATTTAGACGTTTAGAATATCCATTAATACTATTTACAAGACAAAGGACAAAAACCCCACTTAATCTTCCCATTCTTTAGAACGGATTCCCTACGACCCTCTTCTCGATAGGAGCAAAGTAATGTTTGCGATTACACATATCCACAATGCACATCTCATGCTTCCCTCTCAACATTTCTAAGGCTCTACAAAGACAGAAGGTGTGGATTTTTGCTCTCAACAACTGAAAACTCATTCATTTTGCAATTGAGAGAAAAAGGACAAGGTTTTCAGCCTTAGCAACACTCCCTTCTCACTCGGGGCTCAGTCTCTTGCAGTGACTCTAACTGACTCACGGCCATGCTGAGTCTGCAGGACGCAAAGGAGGAAGTATGAAAATAAAGCTACACGTGGCATTAACAGCACAGAGGATCTATTACCCAAACTACAATGAGTACTGAAGGATAGAAGCAAGATTTATGAGCTATTTAAAAATCATAAATGGTCATTAACTTCATCTAGGTGTGGGAGGGCACTGCCCGAGAGCAGGCCCCCCACCACCATTTCTTGGGGCAGGGGTGTTTTTCTTAGAGGCACTAGACCCGGCTAGTTTCCCTTGCACTGTGCAAGCAATGACTGCTTGGGAAGCCTTCAAATAAATACTAAAATCCAAGTACAGTTTATAAATAAAGTCTGTAGCTTTTCCTAATCCATTACAACTTTAATTAAGCATGGCTCTTTCTTAATTAAAAACATTTATGTCTCACCAAAAATTTATAGGATTAGCCTGTAAATTTTGGAAAGGAAAAGATACCATGAATGAGACTTCCGTTTAGTGAAAAGGTTTCAAAAGTGACAGAAATATCCCAATTTAAACAATGCTTTATCAGAAATGTAGTTAAGGAAACACCAAATTTCAAAAGGTACCCAGAATCAAATCTACTCTCAAAAACAGGGACCAGGTTTGGATTCCTTTCTATGAAGCTTCTCAAAGCTACAGAAACTTACAAATATTTCCTACAAGCACATGAAAGGTGAGCACTTAGCATGGGACAGCAAGACAGCATACTTACTTGATCAGCATTCCTTGATTGGGCAGTAATTCCAGATGAATTTTCCCACCTTCCTGGGTTCTTAAGTAGGCGAATTCCTCCAGCATATCGATATCTGCAGGCCAGATTCAGGTTAACCACGTGCAGAAACAAGGTGCCCTGCTCTCTCGGAGGAGGACCGGGCTGGCAGTGACCGAGTGACTTGCCCAAGGCCACCACGCTAACCAGAGTCACTACCGGAACCCAGGCCAGTCTGATTCCCAAACTGACGATTCTTGTACCAACCAGACCACCTCGTAAAGATAAATATGTTTCTCCTACAGATGCTAATTAAACAGATTCTATATGATCATAACAGCAAAATCTTTTGTTTTCTTAGTAAGAAATGAAAGAGGCAGTGGGGGTGCTGGATCCCCGGAAACGGCGCTTGGACAAGGGCAGCACGTTCCTCACGAGTCGAAGGTGGTCTTTCCCTAACAACAGTGTGAAACACGACACTCCCTACGGCCGAAAGCAGCTGCTGGGCCGGGCCGCACGTGTGGTGGGTTCTCAGTGGCAGTTGTAACAGCTGTGACACGGTGCTCTAACAGCTGACCCCGGGGGAGGCCCCACGAGGCCCTGTGCTGACAGATGAAGGCCCATGAACTATTCTATTCTCTGGCCTCACCAGTCGCTCTGGGCCTCTCGGGAACCTGAAGGCTATTGATGTGGGCATCTCAGGTACCTGCCTAGAAGTGGATGGAGGTGCAAAGTGGAGCTGAGCTGACTGGTATTCCTGATTCCGTGCATCACCTCTATGAAGCCTTTTAGGACTCTCATTGAGAACAGCTGCCACAGGCCCATTTTTAATCGTCATTCTTCCTCTCTTCCCCCAAATACTGAAAACCAGTATTTCTACCTGGAATGATTCATTCACTCTTGTACCATGCATTTATTCTTAAAAAAAAAAAAAGTCAGAATTTCTTATGCTCACACAGGAAAAAGGATACTTGTAACATAGTTGAAAAAATTCTCGTATTGGAAATTTCCTTGTTGGCAAATCTTACTGACAGCTTTCAAGAAAAGATTCTCTCCCCGTGGCCACTCTTGCTGAAGCAAGACAATCACGTGGCCCAGCGCCATGTCGTCCCTGCTGTCCGCGAAAGCTCGGAGCTGCAAGACAAGGATTTGTGCAGACATGGAAGGAAAAGGAAATCATGGGGTGATCTTAAATATACCAAATAGCACTTCCTGAAAAAATGCCGCTATATGAAAATGTGTGATCTAGGGAACAAGCAGAACATACACCTGCCACGCAAACAACACGACTGCCTTCTGAGGAGGGTGGGTCCCAACCACAGAAGCCTGGCTTCCCTCTGTGCTGGGAACAAGGTCACTGAGCATCCTGACGGGAGCTGGACACGCCTGGCAGGCCTGAAGCTCGACTTTGGGAAAAGGGCGAGAGAAGCTGAGTGGTTCTGTATGGCAGAGAGAAGGATTTAGGGATTTCTTTGAAGGGGGCAGTTGCTGGTAGAGGGTGGGCCAGAAGGCGAGTAGGAGAGAAGGGTTTGAGGAGAACATGGACTGGGGAGCAGAAAGGCAGTGAGCAACAAGGAAGGAAGTGGCAGTGTGAAATGCAGAACCGGCGCAAGGACTAAATGAGCAGCTAGGCCCCAAATCACACTTCAAATTGTTTCTGTTGCCCCAAGGGATTCTGGCAATGAGTGAAGTCTGGGAATTACAGCCCTAAAACAGAGACCCAGTACCGCTGTTCTCTTGCTCACAAACCTTGGTGAAATGCACACTAAGGCTCTGCTCCACCTGCAGCCAAGGGCCTGGTGTTCTTCCAACAGCCTGTAAACCTTCCCAGCTCTGCTGGTGTTCATCTTAAAGCCTGAAATGCTTTCACCCCCCCCCCGTCTTTAGGATAACAAACTCACCATCCCTCTATGAACCCAAGGGCATTTGTAATCTCTTCTTCTAGCTAATATATTCTGATATACGTTAATTCATAACATCCTTACTGACCATCTCTACGGGCAGGTTATTTGGATAACTGTCACGCTTATTGGTAAACTGCTCGAGGATGGGGATCATTTCCTACTCATTTGTGCCTAGTGCAGTCCACAGTTGGTATTTGTTCATCGCTAGCCCATGTGCTCTCCCCACGACACCAAGTCACTCCAGATCATCAGAACAGTGTTCCAAATTAAACTGCGTTCATGCTAATCGGCTTTCAGCTTACCTTAAAGCAAGCCAGCATTAGATGCAGGCAGAACGGCATGATAGCCTTGCTGGTACAAGGCAGCAACTTCAGATCTGAACCTGTGGGCAAAAGTCCACAATATGTCTGTTATGAGCAAAGAAAACAGCTTTGAAAAGCATATATTTAAGATGCTTTCCAGAAAAAAAAGATAAGCAACAGTCACATGGTTTCAAATATAGTTAAACCACGATTATATTTAGTGATGGTGAAATTGGTTTTTGAATGATCTCTGGATTTCATTTATCAATCTTCTTTCCGTTAACCTTGCTTAAATACTTTTTATTACAAAACCTTTCAAATGTAGAAACAAACACAGGTGTTTGTAATACTGTGCTCAACGCTCAGCTGTATAAAATGTTAACTTTTTGCTTTAAAGATTTTAATATAAAGTATCACAAATTTAGTTGAAACCTCTTGTGCACCTTGTCAGCTGCCCTCTTCCCTTCTCCCTAAAGTAACTATTATCCTGAAGGCGCTGTTTTTCATTCCTCTGCAACAACAGAGGAAAGTTTTGCAAGTTTTCAGTCTACTATATAAATGGTGTCATATTGTATGCATCCTTCTGCAAACTGTTTTTGATACTAATACTATAGCTCTAGTTCATTGATTTTCAATGTCTATACAGTACTCTGCTATTTACATATGTCACAATTCATTTATCCATTCTTTTATGGTGGGCAGTGAGATGTCCAATTTTTCACTATTACAAACAATGCTAAAATAAACATTCTTATATATATTTTCTTGTGCACTTGTGGGAAAGAAACTTCAGGCAACAGTTTTCAGACCAAGACCTTAATCCTTTCCTTTATGGTGTGTGCTCTTTATAACCTAAATCCTTCTCTACCCTGAGGATGAAATTAGCAAGAAATCATGGAGATCCTGTATATACCTATTTACATATGTTTATGTATCTAAAACAAAAGGTTCATGAAATACAATTTACCCTTTTTACAGGAGATGAACTCATTTTAGTAATAATATTATATTCTATCTCATTAAAAGAAGAAAATGGTTGAAATTCATTACCTGGGGGGGTGAGGACCCACGTTTGAAAAGCACTGATCTAAGGGATTTAACTAGAAGAGGTATGTAACTAGGTAATGAGATGTTCAACCTGGAATAGCTAAACTGGTCTCCACAGTGATGGTATGAGTTTATACACCTTCCATAAGGAGATGGGCAATGTGTGTCTTCACATCTGACAGCACTGCCACTGTGAATTCTGACATGTCTGATATGGTAGCTTACTGTTTTAATCTGTATTTCCCATATTGCTAATAGGTTGAGAATCCTTTCAAATAGTTTATGGTCATTTGGATTTCTGCTTCTGTGAATCTGTTGTTCATATTCTTTGCGTGTTTTTCTATGAGGGGTTGGCTGGTTGTTTCTTACTGGTTTGAAGAAGCTCTTTCAAAATTTTGATTCTATGTGCTGGATAACCTTCTTGCAGGCTAAGGCTTATCCTGTCACTTTGATCACAGTATCTTTTATTGGTATTTTAATTTTAATGTGACTAAATTTACTAATCTTTTCCTTTCTGTTGTGTGCTTTTTGTAGCCTAAATCCTTCTCTACTTAGAAGGCCCAAATAATCTTTTCTTCTAAAAGCTTGAAAGTTTTACTTTCCATTTTTAATCTTAAAATTTAAATAATTATTTTGCAGTGTGAAGGAGGGATCACATTTTTGTTGTTTTTAGATTTGGATTGATTGCCCCAGTACCACTTATTGGGTAAACTCATGCTTGGCCCACCGAATTGTAATACCACCTGTTTCTTGGTTCTCTATTCTGTTCCATCCATCAGTCTCTATGCCAACACTACAGTATCTCTATTACTATAGCTTTAAAGTAAGTCTTGAAATCAGCTAGGTCCAACCTTAACCTACCTGATTTGCTTCTGTTTCACAGACACACTTTCTGAAGGGGTCTGGGCTATACCTTTTTTTTTAAAACCTCCCACATACCTTAAACAGCTTCAATAATGATCAAGACTATCATGCTTTTGTCTTCTAGGAAATTTTAGTGTCCTAATAAATCTACCTACCAGTCACAAAGACCTTCTCTTTTTTTTTTTTTAAAAAATAAAAATGTTTATTTGAAATTATGTATTATGCCACATAGTTTACTTTTCTGTTACATATTATTTATTATTTAAATTCAATTAGTCAACATACAGTACATCATTAGTTTCAGATGTAGTGTTCAATGATTAATCAGGTGCCTATAACAGCCAGTGCTCATCACATCACATGCGCTCCTTAATGCCCATTGCCCTGTTATTCCATCCCCCCACCCACCTCCACTCCAGCAACTCTGTTTGTTTCCTATACTTAAGAGTCTCTCATGGATTTTCTCCCTCTCTGAAGACTTCCCATTCAGTTTTCCCTCCCTTCCCCTATGATCCTCTGCACTGTTTCTTATATTCCACTTATGAGTGAAACCATATGACAATTGTCTCTGACTTCTTTCGCTCAGCATCATACCCTCCAGTTCCATCTATGTCGATGTAAATGGTAAGTATTCATCCTTTCTGATGGCTGAGTAATATTCCATTGTATATATGAACCACATCTTCTTTATCCATTCATTTGTCAATGGACAAAATAGTTTGGCTATTGTGGACATTGCTGCTATAAACATTGGGGTGCACGTGCCTCTTTGGATCACTACATCTGTATCTCTGGGGTAAACACCTAGTAGTGCAATTGCTGGGTCATAGGGTAGTTCTTTAACTTTTTGAGGAACCTCCATACCGTTTTCCAGAGTGGCTGCACCAGCTTGCATTCCCACCAACAGCGTAAAACGGTTTCCCTTTCTCTGCATCCTCGCCAACATCTGTTGTTTCCTAACTTAATTTTAGCCATTCTGACTGGTGTGAGGTGGTATCTCATTGTGGTTTTGATTTGTATTTCCCTGATGCTCAGGCATGTGGAGCATATTTTCATGTGTCTGTTGGCCATTTGTATGTCTTCTGTGGAGAAAGATGTCTGTTCACATCTTCTGCCCATTTCTTGACTGGATTGCTTTTTGGGTGCTGAATTTGATAAGTTCTTTATAGAGCTTGGATACTAGCCCTTTACGTTATGTCATTTGCAAATATCTTCTCCCATTCAGTAGGTTGCCTCTTATTTTGTTGACTGTTTCCTCTGCTGTGCAGAAGCTTTTTATCTTGATGAAGTCCCAATAGTTCATTTTTGCTTTTGTTTCCCTTGCCTTTGGAGACGTGTCAAGCAAGAAGTTGCTGTGGCTGAGGTCGAAGAGGTTACTGTCTGTGTTCTCTCCCCAAAGATTTTGATGGATTCCTGTCTCACATTTAGGTCTTTCATCCATTTTGAGTTTATCCTTATGTATGGTGTAAGAAAATGGTGCAGTTTCATTCTTCTGCATGTTGCTGTCCAGTTTTCCCAACACCATTTGTTGAAGAGATTGTCCTTTTTCCATTGGATATTCTTTCCTGCTTTGTTGAAGATTAGTTGACCAGAGAGTTGAGAGTCAACCAGAGAGCTGACCGGAGAGTTCCATTTCTGGGTTCTCTATTCTGTTTCATTGATCTATGTGTCTGTTTTTGTGC